GGGGAAGGACGAGCTGGGTGAGTGCCGGCCCCGGGACCCCCCCCCGCCCGGTGCCGGCCGGGCAGGTGGCTGAGGCGCCTCCCGGGCTCTGCCCGCCGCAGGTCTCATCACCAGCAGCCAGTCCGCGGCCTACGCCATCAGCAAGTTCATCAGCGGCGTCCTCTCCGACCAGATGAGCGCCCGCTGGCTCTTCTCCTCCGGCCTGCTCATGGTGGGCCTGGTCAACGTGGTCTTCTCCTGGAGCTCCACTGTCACCGCCTTCGCCGGGCTCTGGTTCCTCAACGGCTTGGCCCAGGGGCTGGGCTGGCCGCCCTGCGGGAAGATCCTGCGGAAGGTGAGTGGAAAACGTGCAGGGAAACTTGTCTGCACTATCTCGGCAGCAGGTCTGTGCAGACCGTGTTGCTGGCTCTAAATTCAGAGGAACTGGCAGCTTCCTGCCTCCTCCAAGCTTGGAAGGTCAGAACCACTGGCTGCACATTCCTCTGCCTGCAGAGTATGAGTTTCTGTGTGCTGGGTTCTTGTTCTAGCTGATGTTCAAACAGTTCATTAGCCCTTGTGTTCTTGTGCTTCAGTAGTAGCTCAGTTTGGTAAGTAGCACCTCCTGGCAGCAGACCTGTTCCTGGCTGAGTGTTGTGAGTTGTTGGGATCCGGTGTTTCGGGCAGGTCGAGGGCTGGTTCCCTCTGCTGCTGTGGCCGTTTGCTGCTGGGCAAGGGGCAACGAGCAGAGTTCGATCTGCATGCTCAGGGAACTCAGGAATTGCAAACTGCAGCTCTTCAGGTCGACAACTGGTGGAGGCACAGCCTGAGTCGAGCCTCTGGGCTGGATGTGTGTTTGGGTTTTGTTCCACTGAGATTGTCACTGCTTGGTTTCTGCCTTAGGATGGTGGGAAGGAGCTCAGCTGTGCATTGACAGAAAAAAATCCAGGAATATGCAGGACTTAGGGGCCTGAACAACTGCATTGCCCTTCTGTGAGGCATCTAGCTAGCAAGAAGAGGGATGTCTGGGGTGGTTTTGTGCATGGAAAGAAAGGTCCAGAATAATGGCCACAATACACAGCGTTTTCTGTGGAGGGAAGGTGGCACTTGGACGTTTTCCTGTCGACAGCCACCAACCAACCTGTTCTGGCTCTGGGCACTCACTGCAAAGCTGATGGTTCCTGATACTTAACCCAGCAAGTCCTAAACTTACCCTATGATTCCCTGAATGCCCATTCATGGTCCTGTCCCAGCAGACCTTTCCAGACTCTGTTCCTAGCAAGTGAGTATATAGAACCATGTGCTCTTAAATGTGCCTCTCCCAGTTCATGTCTCGGTTTCATCGTCTGTACACAGAAATAACGACAAGCTGGCTGGTGCTGGGAGCACCTGTTAGGCTCCTCTGGCTGGCACTCACCTCACTTTTAGAGTTCCCTGCACAACTGAGGTCGTGAACAGCAGGCGCTCCCTTTACCTGCTCTTGTAAATCTGTGTTTGAATTGCCTTAGATCCACAGCGTGGGCCTGCAGTGAAGGTTTTCAGGCACAGTGTCACTCTCTCAGACCTCATGCTGTTTTTCTTGTTGTTGCACAGTGGTTTGAGCCCTCCCAGTTTGGGACGTGGTGGGCAATCCTGTCCACCAGCATGAACCTGGCTGGAGGCCTGGGCCCCATTGTCGCTGCTCTTGTGTCTCTGCACTACGACTGGCGCATGACACTGTCCTTCTCTGGCTTCACCTGCGTGGCCGTCTCTTTTGTTTGCCTTGTCCTGATTAAAAATGAGCCGTCGGATGTTGGGCTGCCCAACATCGAGCAAGGACCTAGGAAAGGAAAGAAAGGTGAGCATGAGATTTTGCTGTCAGCGGGGAGCCGCAGGAGCAGGTCCAGCTGCTGTGCTCAAGTTAGCAGTCGTGTCAACCAAGCCCCAGAGTGACCTGGTGGGAAGGGAGGTCTGAGCCCATCCCAGCAGAGCAGAGGAAGAGCCTGATGGGCAGTTAGTCCTGCTCCTCAGCCTGCGTGTGCATCTAGTCCTGAATGCTGGTTCATCTCCCCACCCGTTGGGTGTTTTCCTACTGACAGTACCCTAGTTTTCCTGGGCCTTTGTTTGCTGAGACTGTGAGCCAAGAAAAATCCCAACAGCCAGAAACGCTTCCTTAAGCCTGACCCTCCTCTCCTCCATGCTGGCAGAGGATGAGCAGTTCTCCCCTCACCCTGCTGTGGGTCCTCTTGACCCCTGGCTTGTGGTGGACTCTGCTCTGTGATTTCTGTCCTAACCTAACATCTGGTTAGTAAATGTTTGTTCAGACCACGGAGTATGGGGCTCCTCTGAAAGCAGGACAGGTAGAGGGGAATTGCAACACAGGTTTGCTGTAGGCTTTTAAAGGCCAGTGGAATCTCAGCCTACCTTCCTGCGGTGCCTGTGCTGCTAGCCTTGATCTTTTAGTGTAAGGAAACGATATGGTTCTGGGGAGGGTAGGTTTATAGGTGTTACTGGGAGACTTGGAAAAATCAAGGTAGCACCCAAAAGCCAGCATCCTTGGGTATCTGTACTGGCTTTCACTGGCAGAGCTTGAAAACATTAGCACAGAATCTGGAACCAGGTAATTTTTCTAACAACTTTTGTGAATGGTTTATTGGCAACTACGATACAGAAATTCCTTTTGAGTAGCGTTTTGATTATTCTTTTGAAATCTTTAATGACTGGGGCATAAATTGTCAGAAAAGATTCTGAAATTGTAGCAAACCCATACCAAGGGGCAGGTGAAGCTATACACTCTGGGTAGCTGCAAATCCCTCCCTCTGTAAGGATGTCCCTGTGCCTGTTTCCTGCCCACAGGTCTGTCTGTGATGCTGGAGCTGGTGTGGGTCAGTAGCTGTGCTCAAGCAGTAGTAAGTCCTCATCTCCTTCACAGGTTCCTCCAGTGACAACAGCACTTTGAAAGAGCTGCTGCTCTCGCCGTACCTCTGGGTGCTCTCAACAGGCTACCTTGTTGTTTTTGGGGTGAAAACGTGCTGTACCGACTGGGGTCAGCTCTTCCTCATCCAAGAAAGAGGACAATCCATGCTTGTGGGTAAGATGCAAAACTGTATTTTGAAGCTTTGGGGCTGCAGTTTGGGGAGTGAGGCAGAGAGGCTGATGGTGTGGCAGAAGGACTCGGGCACCTCCATCTGAAGGACTTGGTTGCTCACCTCCTGCTTGTCCCTTTAGATATACAAGGTTATTGAAATAACTCACTGATGAATTTACTGCATGTGCTGGGTGTCCCAGTGCTGCTCGTGCCAAGGTCGTCCCAGGACTGGCAGACAGGTATTCCTGCCTAAAGCAGGCAGCAGATTGTCTACCGTGGCTGAGCCTGACGACCAGTTCTCTGCTTCACCTCCCTTCTAGGTAGTTCCTACATGAGTGCCCTGGAGATTGGGGGTCTGGTGGGAAGCATTGCTGCTGGATACCTTTCTGACAGAGCGGTAGCAAGAGTAAGTGATGCCTCATGCTAGAAAACAGGTATTCTCAGCACCACATTTCTTTCTTCTGTCTCCCCAAGTTGCTCTTCTGGATACAGTTCTGTGTCTAAACCACCCTGCTGTGAAATGGGACTTTGGAAACAGACCCTTTGTGATTAACCCACCTCTTCCCCTTCATGCAGAGGCAGGTTGGGAGGGATGTGACCCATCTCAACTGCTTTACAAGGTGTGGTCGGGCTTGTGTTGCCACTGGTATAGCTGGAGTGCTCAGAGCAGTCCTTAAACTGAACCAGGAAATCTTGCTAAAAGATGCACTCCTAACAAACAAACCATCCGTGTTTCTGACTGGGTGTGCAGACACTGTTAGTTACTATGAGTATGGAAGGGTCCTTCCAGTGTCTGAGCCTCAGTTTCCCTTTCTGCATTACAGGTGGGTCTGTCAAGCTATGGGAACCCTCGCCACACGCTGCTGCTGTCCATGATGGCAGGGATGTGCGTCTCCATGTTCCTCTTCCGTGTGACAGTCACAGGCGATTCTCCCAAGGTAATTCCTGCATGAGTAGCTGGCTGTTCATTGTCAGGACAGCCCTCTCATGGTGAGAAGTTTGGTGATAGGGAGTGTGACTTTCCTTCTCCCTTCCCAAGAGCTGTATGTTTGCACTGTCTTTGTTTGCCTGAGAGGCAGGCTGACTCACTCTGGTGTGGGCTGCTGCCTGGGTCAGCTTGTGTAGCCTGTGTGACTGGCAGCAGCGTAGACATCACTTGCATCTTCTCTAGTGATTGCTAAATAAATGAACCCTCTGTTCTCCTTTCCTTCTTTTCTTCTTCAGGAAAATCACTTCTGGACTGTAGCCTTGCAACCTCTAGCTGATCTCACAGGCCTAAAAGAACATGAGGTTTCTGCCTTGCATTTTTTTCTCCCTCTGCCTGTTTCTGCTTGTGCTGATCTGCCTTTTTCTTATCCTGGGTGGTTGGTTAGCCCTCCAGAACTTAGAAGCAGGGCACTGAGAAGATTACAGTGAGTTTGTTAAAGAAATCTTTTCTTATGATCATTTTATTACACTAACTGACTTTAAAGTCTGAATATAAAATGTTGAAGTTCTTATCTAGAAGGTTCCAAGGATGTTTATTCATCAGGTAAAATGTAGCCAGTTCAGGGGTCTTATGAGTGAGGTCAGGAGAAATTATTCTCTTTTGTGTTTTCTTAACCCTGTGTTTCTGTTTCCTATCTCGAAAATAAGATGGCATTTGCTTTCTTCTGAGCATCTGGAAATGGTGTTTCTAGTTCAAAAAGAGTGGTGTAGTCTTGAGGTGGTCAAGGTACTTGTGCTTTGCCATCCTTCCACAAGTGACCGATGAATTCCAACCCAGGTGGTCTTGGAGCTTGAGCTAGCGCTGCAGTTCAGACTTTTGGGGTTTTGGGTTTGTTTCTGTGTTTGTTTAGAAGCACAGAGAGGGTATCAGGTAGTGGCTGCTCACAAATAAAGGTGCTCTGATCAGCCACTCACATCTAAAATAAGAGCAGCTTTCAGCTGGTGTCTCCAGGTTCATTTTTAAAAGCACCTTGATTCACAGCTCTGGCACAAGCTGAGGAGCTGCTGTTGGCCCAAAAATGTCAAACCCCCTCATACCAGGCATGGGATCTGAGATTTTCCAGCAGTTGCTGACTGACGGGTAAGATGCACAGATCCTGTTTTTGATCATAACTTGTTTTGGCAGCTGTGGATCCTGACTCTGGGAGCTGTGTTTGGGTTCTCCTCCTACGGACCCATTGCCCTGTTTGGGGTCATTGCCAATGAAAGTGCCCCCACCAACCTGTGCGGCACCTCCCACGCCATCGTGGCCCTCATGGCCAATGGTGAGTAATGCCCCTCTTCCTGAAAAACAAGCAAACCCTCGTGTGTTCTTGATGAAGTATGGTCTAGCCTCTGGCTGCCAAGTTACTGACCCTGGGAAGCCACATGAGAAGCAGAGATAATGGAGCTGGAAGCTAGAGGGATGCTTCCTGCTGTACCCGACAGGTTTGCTTTAAGTTCAAACCATGCCTGAGGAATTTTTATACATGCAAAAACCAGTGTTGGCAGATAAAATGGAGACACTGGAGGGTTGCTAGTTTTGTTTGTTTTTCCTCACAGTTGGAGGTTTCCTGGCTGGATTGCCCTTCAGTACCATTGCCAAGCACTACAGCTGGGCCACAGCCTTCTGGGTGGCTGAAATCACCTGCACTGCCAGCACGGTGGCTTTCTTCTTGCTGCGGAACATCCGCACCAAGATGGGCCATGTTCCCAAGAAGGCTGACTGAGGAGAACCTGCTTGGTGAAAAGGATGTGTCCACATTGACCTGAATGATGCTCATTTTTTGTTTAACTGGCCTAGGAGTGAGTTTACCTATTGCTGCAACCTAGATTAAAAATGTCTCAGTTTCTCCTCCACTGCCACGTGCCCAAGGGCACAAGGTTCCTGCTACTGATCACCGTTTCCCTCAAGATGTGATAATTCAGCTAGTTTACATTTGCAATGATTTCACAGTACCTCCTTCTCATAGCACTGCTGGTGAGGTGAGCAGGCTGTGCAGCCCCACTTTCACCAACGCTGCTCCCGGGTAACTGGCTCCAGGTGCTGTTGCACTCTGTTTTGTCCTTGTTTGTCTTGTCCATTAACTGCCAGCTCAGGGTTGCTGACATCAGTCTTCACCACCTTGTTCATCATCAGCTTGCTTAGGAGTGTGCTCCCGGCTCTGGAGCAGCAAGTGATGGTGATGATGCTTGTAGTGTTCAGCATGACACGGAGAGCAGCGTGGCTTTAGCTTTGCCCAGGACTTGCTTTAGGAGTGAGGTGGTGCTCTGCACCATCCAGGGCTCGTGTGGCAACAGGCAGGTTTCCAAGGAACCCTTGGAGCACCAGGGGCAGCGTTTTAGAGCTGCTCTGCCTGCCTGTCCAGCATTAATGATTGGCCAGGGAGGCGACCAAGCACTTCACAGCCGGGTTCCCTGGAAACGGCCATTTCTAGCATTGCCTTGTTTTTTTTCAGTACAAGGTGTGTAATTTAGGATGTTTTTGGTCCAGAGCTGTGTCTCTCATGGCTGAGGGCTGGGGCTCAGCCTGGCCACCAGCCCAGCCTGGCACGCTCATGCCCAGCGCTCGTTCTAATAAGTCGACTCAGGTTTTTCACCAGGATTTTGTGGAATCTTCTCATTTTTCCCTGGAAGAGGCAGGTTCAACTTGCAAAGAACCTGCACGCAACAGCTTGGTTGGAAGAGTAGGTAGCCAGCCTTAATTAGAATAATGAAAGTTAATTATATTTTGTACTTAATTATATGAGCTACTATCTGTGAATAAAAACAGAGCAGTGTCATGAGGGCTCTGGTTGTCTTGTGGGGAGCAGCACGAGCAGAACCACCCAAACCTCCTCATTATCACTTTGAGTTGCTACCAGTGCACATTTACCCTGCCAAGAGAAACCCAACTGCCCAGCTTTTTGAGGAATGTTTATTACTTCTGCACAGAAATCCTCTGTGAAGCCATAACTTAGAGCTATACAGGAAGAACGTATGTACAGTTAGAAAGAAAACAAGCGGCTGCATCGGGCGCAGCCCTGAGCCTCTCGCTGCTTCCCTGAGGGCAGTGGATCTGCTGAAGCAGAATCATCCTCTGTGGCCCAATGTAAACAGTAACGAGTCTGTGTAAGGTAAATTTCACAACAAAGGGGATAAAAGGGTATCCTGGGAAATAGTGAAGCACGTTTTGGGGATATGCAGACTCTGCTGTGGAGGAGAAAGCTCTGGGACAGGTCCAGCTCTTCACAGAAGGAGCAGGCGCGGCAGGAACAGTGTTCTCTATGATCCCGGTCCGAAGGGTCCAGACTTTTCCGCCACCTCCAGAGCAAGTTTCAAGTTCTGATCAAACAACTCACATCTGAAAAAGTCAGAAAAACAGAAGGGGGTGACTACCTCCATAACAGGATAACAAAGGCCGAATCTCCATATCCTTTGGTTCTGCATCCTGCAAGGAGAGATTCCATGCATCACAGGCAGCAGCCTGACTGCTGTCCAGTCCCAGGGCAGGGTCTTGTGTGGGTATAGGGCTATGTTGGGCAGCAGGGATCATACCAAGGAGCAGAACCTCTCACTTCACCAGCAATGGAACAGGTCAGTGTCCCATCCCTGCAGCCATGTGCCGCATCTTCCCCATTCCCTCACCCCCTAGGTCTGCTTTGGTACTTAAGGGCTTCTGGAATTTGTTACTGCACGGGCAGAAGGTGATGAAGAGTTTTCACTGTGTTATTGGCAGTGGGCTTACCTGATTGGCATCTCCAGAGAGTAGAAGGGATTCTTCAGAGCAAAGTCAGAATAAATTTCATAGATCTTGCGGAGAAGGGAGTCTATGCCTGCCTGCCTGGGATCAGCAAGAACCATGAATTTGATCCCTGGGGCCACAATGACAGAGGAGAGAGGATAGCTGAGCTCTGTGCCAGCCCCAGCAGACCGGAGTGGTGCTGGGTGCCTAGGGCCAGATTGTACCTGTCAGCGTCTGGAAGCAGTGCAGCTTGAAGGTGTCAGTCTCCAGCATTTCGATCCCAGAGCTCCCCACCTCGGGGGACAGCTGCGATCCGATGGCAAAGAGCCTGCAGAGAGACAGCCCTCAGCACCCCCAGCACCCCTGCCCGCACCAACCCCGTCCTGTCCCATCCTGTGGCTCACGAGTGGAACATGGAGGCCAGCATGAGCTTCTCGTTGGAGGAGAGGCGGTGGCGGCCGAAGCGGATGGACACGGGGTAGTTGGCCGGGTTGCCCAGGAACTCCAGCACGTCCTTCCCATCCGCCGTGCAGCGCCCGTTCACCTCCGCGCCGTTGATGGCCAGCACGGCGTGTCCCACTGCAGGAGCAGCAGGTCAGCGAGCCTGGCCCGTCTCAGTCGGTGTCTCGGGCCCTGAGGCCGCT